GTCGGCTGCCTGCACTCTAACAATCCCTCCCGAGGAATCCACGGACTCAGGTTTGACAGCCAGATGGGACAGACGTATTTTCCCCTTTTTGAGTTACAGGCCCCTTCGAGGATCTGACTCAGGCCAGCAGCTCTCCCCAAGAAAAATACGCAAGCGAAGGCTTTGGCATAAAATTTCGGGGGGCGAGGGGGGGCTGTTCAAAGACCTCCATGAAGTTCATTTAAGAAAAGTCTTAGGCATTCAGGACCGTGGCCAAGAACGCCCGGCCCGCCTATAGAAACATGCACCCTTTACGTTCACTCAGGGTGTTTGGATCAGGACCCCAGCCAGATGGATGTGTTCTGCATATTTCATTCGGTGGCCTGGAATCACCCTGTGAAGTTCCCAGAGACAAAGCAGGGCCTCAAGCATGGCTGTCACCATCCCGCCCCCACCCCAGGGCGTCAACAGCACCCTCCAAACACTGCCCCGCCTTCAGTTTCACTGACTTCCAGAAAAGGAAGGAGGGGAATGGCCATCAGGGTGGCGCTCCAAACCTTTTCGTAACAATATATTTTTTGGAAATTAAAACCCAAATTTAAGAAGGGCGGAAGGAAGAAGTTGGTTCCTTCCGCTCTGTAAAGCAAAGGGCGCAGCAACCCATTTTCACCACTGGATGGCGGCCATAGAAAGAAACGCTCAAACGGGCCGGACATTCCTAGGGGCCCAAATTTGGCTTCCATGCATTTCCTTTTTGGCCCACAAAGTGTTTATAGATTAGTGCCGGGAAATTTCACATAAAAACCTACATTTCCAGGCTCACAATCCCACGATCTGGCACTATCTGGGCCTGCATCACTGAGGGCAACCACAGAGGTTTGCTTGGCTCTGAGCAGAACTGCCCCTTCCGCTGGGGCACGTGGGCTCTGACTGGACGGTCCTCTCCTTGCCCTGCTGGTCACTCATCCACTTTACCCGCCTGGCCTTTGTAGCCATAGAGTTTGCCACCCCAATAGGCCAAAACCACCTGATTACTCATTCAGAGCAGCAAAATGAAAGTTGAGAACTGCCTGCATACATTTTTCGGTTCTATTAATAGCATTTCACTCTTCACTCTGGTTTTACTGTCTACATCCTCATTTTTCTTCTCAAGCCCAAAGCTGAGCAAGCATTCTTGCTCTCTGAGCCTGAACCATGAGGCCTCAGAGTCCTTCTTAATACAACACCCTAAGCTGTTACTCGCACCCAATCTGAGTTGGTACACGAGATGCGAACTACTTTCCACCTGGCATCCTGGAAAGAAGCTGCTTGAGAAGAGAGTCCAGGAAGGAAACCACTGTCCTTCTTAAATCATGGATGCGAATGTATCAGGGGATGATATGGAGAAATCTGTGGTGTCTTGGTGGGAAGCAACTATTCAGCAAACGGAACATAGAGTATCACCGAAAGGCTTCGTTAACTTCAGGCTATCGGTCACAGGGATGCAGATGACAAAGGGATTTTGCGGAGAACTAAGTAACGTATGTCAAGCGAAGCCCCCTGAGAACAAAGCCCCAGACTGGTAGGAAGTCTTCCCCTTCCTGGGCCGCTCAGCTGCCAAACAGATGGAGGATTGAGTAGCTGCATTCTTCCTCACAAACCTCAACCCGTGGGGGAAAAAATGAGTGTACACTGCCACCAAGTGGTTACAGCTGGTAACACGCCACAGCTAAGAAAATACGTAATGAAAACCAATAAATGTCTAACGAACGGATGCTTGAAAGGATAAAAACTATTGTTATTTTATTGTAGTCTTTTACAATGAACTGAAACACACATTCCCATTTTTTTGTATATAAAACATTTGGAAAAAGTAATATCCAAGGAAGAGAGTCAAAATCTTTAAAGATCCCAGACCAGATATTTCTGGCCAAGAAAGAATGGATGAACTGGGAATTCAATTCAGGCCCCTTGGATCCCATCCAGATGTTCAACCAGCTGGTCACACCGAGTCCGCTCCAGTCAATTACTTTTCTTGATGTTTCTAATCAACAGTATTATATATGTGATGCTATGAACTTTTATATTTAATATTAGCTCATAACTCAGGATCCTAAACCAGATGTTTTGGGTGAGAAAGAAATTGATGACTCATCAGTAGATTGAACCCAGGCCACTGGCTGCTCTCCAGGCATTTTACCAGCTGAGCTGCAAAGCAGAGTGGTTGCTACCAGCTCAGCTCCCTTTAGTTGAGAGAGAGAGAGAGAGAGAGAGAGAGAGAGAGAGAGAGAGAGAGAGAGAGAATGAAAATATGAACATAAAGCAGCATTTGAAGATCTTTTGTGAGGTTTTTTTCTCTTATAAAATCGGAGCTTGTCATGTTATCTTAAGTCAGTGATGGTCAGGTATTTGCAATCCTCTAAATGAATCCTGCTCTCCTTTATAAGGAAGAATGCAGCTACTCAATTCTCCAATAATATATGCAACCAAGGGAAGTTGACACTATTGACTACCATGAACCAGGTGGGATAATATCTTTAAAATCATGACTGATGATTCCTCCCAGGGAGTCCCAGCTTTGCACTTCCCCCATCAAACAGCTAGGCTCACTCATGGGAGGAAGTAGGCAGAATAGAGAGCAAAGAACAAAGAAGTCTCTGGGCTATGATTTCAGGCTCCTGGAAGAGAGAAGGAATTCCTGCCCCACCATCCCTCTTGAAAAATATCCCCCCAGTCAGTGGGTCCTGGAGAAAGAGGTTCTGTGGCTGTCTTTCTGGGTTAGATTCCTGGGGAGGTAACAGACCCTAGACAGGGTGTGGCTACATGTGGGCAAGGTCTGGCCAGATGGGGCCCAGAGTGATCCCAAATGAGATGATTCCTAAAGAGCACTTAGCAGGGTGCCTGGTACAATAGCAAGTACTCAATAAACTGCAGCAGTTAACTGCTTTTATTAGCGTGATCACGTTATAATCACTGAAGCCAAGTTCCCTGTGGATGCTTCCTCAGCAAGGGCCAGCCAGCACAGGTCACTACCCCCTTTGTACCTTTCCTCCTAACAGCAGACAAGACCACTGTCACCTGTGTTTCCTGAAACGAACCAGTCTAAACCTATATGTGATAGTTAATTTTATGTGCCAACTTGGCTGGGTCAGGATATCCAGATATTTGGTCAAATAGTATTCTAGATGTTTCTGTGAAGGTATAGTTTAAGTGAGATTAGCATTTCAATCAGTAGACTTTCAGTAAAGCAGGTTACTCTCCATAATGTGGGTGGGCCTCATCCAATCAGTCGAAGGCCTGAATGGATAAAAGACTGGCTGTCTCAGAAGAAGAGGGAATTCTACCAGCAGATGGACTTCAGACTCAACTACAACTCTTTTGGGTCTCCAGCCTGCTGCCTCAGCCTGAAGATAGTACACTTGCCAGCTTCCACAATCACACGAGCCAATTCTTTAAAACAAATCCTTCTCTATACACACACACACACACACACACACACACACACACAGATACACACATCCTATTGATTCTATGGAGAATCCTAATACACAATTATTCGACAAAAACATTCTAGAATCCAGGTAACTATATTTTTTCCTGGTGGCCCTAACACTTCACTGGTGGTCTAGAAGGCAGAATACCAGATGCCACTGGTGAAATATTGGGAGAGGAAATCTCTCTGGGACTCAGTTTCTTTTCCTACAAACTAGGAGATTAGAGTATATAAGAAACAGCAAATAGATTCAGTTTCCATGCCATCTTCAATCTCTGAGTGGCATCCAGAAAGTGTTGAGAAGGATTCTGAGGTAGTGTCTGTGTCGAGGGAGAAAGTGTGCCATGATCAGCCAAGGAAGCACGTGGAGTGGGGGCAGTGTGACCACTTACGGCCCCTTCTCTGTTCTTACCGAGCCTGACCTCTCTGTGCCTTTTGCCTGATTGGGTTTGTCCTCTTTGTTTAAGTACTTTTCTTCATTTTGAGATTCCACATTCTACTGGTTTCATTCTGACTCACTGGAGGCTCCTTCTAAGCCTCCTTTTCTGCCTCTAAGTCCTCAGCTAGGTGTTGGGAATGTTGCTGTGTCTCTTGATTGGGCGGGGGCCACATTTTCTTTATTATAGGAGATGCTCTCCCCAGGGGATCTCAGCTAGCTCTGGGGCTTTAAATGACATCTGAATGTCAACGGATTCCCATTTCATATCACCAGCCCTAAACTCTTCTAGAACCCCAGAGCCATGCACGTAGCTGGCTACTTGCTACATCCACCTACGAGTGGCAGCTCGACATAACATGATGACAACTGAGCTCTGCGTTTACCCTCCACCTGCTTTCCTCTGGCTTTTTCTACCCCTGCAAAAGGCACCCCATTTGCCTGCTTACCCACCTCGAAACGTGGAGTTACCCTGGATCCTGAATTTCCTTTCTCCCCTACTTCAACCCCTTCCATCAGCAGATTCTGAGAACTCCACTTCAAACCGTGCCCTGACCTATCTACGGCTCTCCTTCTGTCCCACTCCTACCCTGGTCCAGGCCACAGTCCATCTTCTACAAGCCTCCGCGTGTCTCTCACTCCAGCCCCGTCCCCTCCCCACACAGGACACGCCTCGGTTCCCCTCCAGGGACCACAGAATCCAGCCTCCGTGTTCTCTCTGCCACCCCCATCCCAGTTTAGGATCCTGCAGTGGTGTTTCGCAAATGGGAGAAACATGATGGATCCCATTAAATGAAAAAAATACACACACTGAAGTCCCTGAGAGTGTGTCCGTGAACTCCAGTGTGACTTGCAAATTAATTAGCAAACCTTAGTCCCTTCAGAGGTCCTGACACCAGTGAGGGCATAACTAGAACCAACTGTGGGCGCCGAAGTGGGTGGCCGCTCCTGAGGCCTACGGTGATTGTATTAATTCCTATAGAGTAAATGGAAAGTGCTAAACTGAAGAACTCTTCTGGAATCCTCAGACCCCCCCAAGAGTGAATCAACAAACTCAGGGATCTGAGAACCTCAGCCTGAATGGTCCTGGACTGCAGGATAAAATGAAAATGCCAAGGTCCTCCACCATCTGACTTTTTGCCAACTTCCAGCCACAGCTCCTGGCCCTCCTATGAAGGAGTCCTACTTAATCCTGAATTTATCCTCCAGTAACAGCAACTGTTTTGAGGAGTGAAATAGTGAAGTGGGGGGAATGGAAACTGGGGAACTAGGTGGCCCGTGTTTACATTCGAACTCCATTACTTATTAGCGTTGTAACCTCAGGCAACTTAACACCTTTCTGCCTCAGTTTTCTCACCTGTGAAGTGGGGATTATAATAGGATCGACCTGGCAGGATTATTCTGACGATTAGATGATTTACACATTTAAACTCATGGACGCATGCCCACCACAAAGTCAGCACTCAGTGAACCACTCTGTGGAGCTCCTTGGGGACACCCCTGTCTTTCACAGCTCTGCCCTGTTCCCTGTAGCTGGAATGACTTTCCTCATCTTGCCATTCTAGAAATCTCCTATTAATTTTTCAAAATCCCAAGCATGCCATATGTTCTGGGAGATGCCTTCCTTGATGCCATTCTTCCGTGCCCAGAGTATGCCATTATTTTTTTTTTTACTTCAAAAACATAAGTAAACTTTTAATAAGTAAAAATTACAACCACCTCTTCCTAGCAATGAGTGATCGTATACTTTGAAAGAAAATGAGGGTTGAAACAAGAGAACACAAGCTTCTGTCACACAAGTAGCCAGATGGATGTAGGTGCGGAGGCTGTACCCAAGCTCTGAGTAAGTGCACCACCGACTGCTAGGCCAGAGGGCCTGGAAATGGCCAAGATGGAAGACCTTGAGTCCTTGCCAGGCCTTTACCTGGAAGGGGGAGACACCAGAATAGACCACTGCCCTTAGGACTGCAGACTTATCCACCCAGTGAACATGGTTCAGTTATATTCTTTTACTCTACACCATTTCACTACGCAATTTTTACAAACTTTTAAATGGGTGGGGGCAGGTGGGAGGGTGACAGAAGCAAATGCGTAAAGGACGATGATGTTAAAACAGCCATCAGGAAACAGCTGTACATGGTTACTGGACAGCGCTGCGTCTGAAGGCAAGGCTTCCGGACGCTCCCAAGCAGGAAAGTGGGCGGTGTCAAATGTGCCTCCTGCACCCATATCCTTAAAACAGGACAGGATGAGATGACCACACCAGTGAACATCACTGAGATCTCGGGTAGCAGCTCAAGTGTGCCGTAACTCCACCCTTTCTGGGACCTATGTTCCATTCCCTCAACAACAAAAGGAACTGTTTTCTCAATCAGGCTTTCATTTCTCCTCCCAGCTGCACGGTGCTTACAGTGATCTCCACTACCCAGAAAGCACGTCCACTTTTATTTTCTTCTTCTTCTTCTTCTTGGTGGTGTCACCGTCCGCGTCGCCATCTCCTGGCTCGCCCGCGCTCTCCTCAGCAGCTTTGGCCTTCTTGGCCTTCTTCTTCTTCCCCTTCTTGACCAACTGTGGAGACGCTGGGGACGCTGGGGATGCTGGGGAGGTCTCGTCACTCTCACTCTGTCGCCTCCACTTCTCGGCTTTCATGGTTTCAGGCGGCACCTCTTTCTTCACATCACTGTAGTCGACATACTCCTGCGTCCAGGTGGCAGGTGTACTGGCCGTGGGCTTGCCGTGCTTATCCAGAAGGCCCTGCTTGATCATCAGCCTCTTCTGACTTGCCTTGGGACCTAAGCCCCACTTCCGAGGGTAAGTGTCTCTCTCCATGATCACTCTCTTGATCTTGGCTACGACCCCATGGTCGCAGGTAGAGATGACTGCTGTGGTCATTAATGCAACAGCTGTGCAGATCGCCTCCCCTTTGGTGGTGATGACCACAATCTCCTGATTTACTTCAATGCCGTCCTCGTATCGAAGAACACCCGGAAGCATGATCTTCGCCCCGTAGCAGATTGCATTCACTGCACTGTCTTTCATGACCAGCCGTTTATGAGATGTCAACAGCTTTTCCAAAGGGTACACAACTCGCCGCAGGTAACTCTCATCCTTGTGGTTGTCGTACAGCCACTGAGCATCAAGCACATCATGCATCGTCACCATGTGGTCCTTTTCGCTCATGACTCCAGAACGAATTCTCCGAAGTTCCTGCATCTGACCGCCAACTCCCAGTAATAAACCAAGGTGCACACACAGCGTCCGAATGTAGGTGCCAGCCTCACAACTCACCCAAAAGATTCCTAATCTTCTTTCGGGATCGTACTCAATCATTTTGCTCTCGTAGATGGTCCGCACTCGGAGTTGCCTCTTTACTGCAGCAATAAGTGGGGGTCGCTGGAATAAGGCACCTGTCAGAGTTTCTAGGGCCCTAAAAAGTTGAGTGCCCCCTTCAATAGCATTGTGTAGCCGGACAATTCCCACATACTCTTTGCCTGCGCTCTGCTGTGATTTTACCAAGCGAGTGGCTCGTTCTATGCACACGATTAAACAGCCAGTCACCTTGGGATCTAGAGTACCACTGTGTCCTGTCTTCTCCACTCGAAGTATCCGTCGGATCCATGCTACCACCTCATGGGAAGAGGGGTTGGAGGGCTTGTCAAGATTAATGAAACCTGTCCTGATATAATCCCCAATCTCCCTCTTCAGAGGACTTGAACCACAAGGAAGAGGTGTATAGTGTGTCGTCCTCACATTTAGCTTATCAAAATTCTTTAGCAACAGGGGCCACTGAGATGTGTCCAACTGAGCCACTTTGGATTCAGGTTTGATAAGAAATTCTTCACCATGTTGTATTTCTGCTACATCTTCTTCTGGTAATGACTTCAGCCCTTTTTTCTTCTTATGCTTCTTCGGCAAAATAAATACTTCCATGTCCGCCATGTTGCCCCACAGAGCGTGCGAGCCGCGTGGGCCACAGCCAAGAGAGGGATTACAGACTCCCGCCGCCGTCAGGGCGCGCCATTCCAGAGTATGCCATTATTAACACACATACTCCAATCAGTTGTTTAACGGTGTATTGGATACGACTCTCAACAAAAACACCATCTGTGAAAACAAACAAACAAAACCTTCATTTGAGCCACTAGGCTGGGTTGGCGGAAAATTCAGGCCTTTGTTTTGGAAACCCCAGTACCCCAGGGGGCCATGGGGTTGGGCTGTGTTAGCTTGCTAGGCTGCCATGACAGAATACCACAGGCTGGGGGGCTTAAACAAGACGTTTGTTTCCTCACAGTCCTGGAGAATGGGTGTCTGAGGTCAGGGTTTGCTTTCTTCTGAGGCCTCGCTCCTTGGTTTGTAGACCGCTGCCACCTCGATGTGTCCTCACGTTGTCTTTCCTCTGTGAGGGCGCATCCCGGGCGTCTCATGTCCTAATCGCCTCTTCCTAGAAGGCATTGCATCAGGGCCAACACTAATGGTCTCACTGTGAATTACCCGACTAAAAGCCCTATCTCCAAATATAGGTACATCCTATAGTTACTGGGGGTTAGGGCTTCAACACGGGAATTTGGGAGGAACTTAATTCGGACCATAAGGGGGTATAGAAGAAGCCCACACACAACCAAGGCAAATGGAGGACCACCTGGTCCTCAGTCATCGGCCCCGGTGGCCTAAGATGCTTACCATCTTGGCCAGAACACTCGGATGCCCCAGGCAGCCGTTCCTCCCTGGGGTCCTGTAGCCTCAGGGGGCTCTCCCCAGGGCAGCGGGCACGGGTCTCCCTGCACCTCAACCCACTTCTCACCTCTGTCCCTCAGCCCCAGAGAATCGGCCCCTATTTCTCAGGGGATCCTTTCTCCCTTCACCTTTTTGCCACAGACATGGTGTCTGTCCAGCAAATGCTCTCTTCCCAAGAAATGACACTTGGGAAAAAAAAGCAAGGGTGATTCCAGGGCTACGTCTACCCTCTTCCTGCCACATCCCTCTCCCTAAACATTAAAGGTAGCTCGCTCACTGCTGGGAGTGGGGGAGGGGAGACCAAAAGAAGGAGATATCTCAAAAATCATATGCCTTACTTGGTTTGAAACGTATAAAAAGTTACATAGACGGTTGCATGGACAGGTGGTAGATATGTGATCAAGCATGTATAGCAAATGTTAATGGTGGGATCTAAGCAGTGGGTGATGGGGTGTTCAATGTATGTTTGAAATTTTTCAGTATAAATTAGTGGTGGGAAAAATATTAAGGTTCACATTTGCCAGCCTCCCGCTAGTCTGTAAGCTCCTTGGTTAAACAGGGTGCTTTTTTTTCTAATTGGCAACACAGTGCGTAGCAGTTCATAGCGTTAAAAATAGAGGCCCTAGAGGCCCACCATCCCCAGGCTGCGGCGCCACTGAGCCCTCCAGTGGCCAGGGCGCGCACTGCACCGCTTGGGGACCTCGTTCACTGTAATGGAACCCTGAGACCTGACCAGGTCCCCTGTTCCGACCCGGAGACCTGGAGGCAGGGACACAGGGCAGGCAGACTGTAGGAGCCACCCAGACAATGCTTCATGGAGGAGGTGAGATGGATCTAGAACGTGCTCTGAGACTCTAGAAGACCTCACTGCTCCAGCCTAGTGCCAGCTGAGCACACCTGCTAGATGAGGGGCGAGCTCCCCTTTAATTGAGACTATTCCAATTAGGTTAAGAAGGAATTGCCTCACAGCCTATCTCTCTATCTCTAGGCAAAAGTCTGTGAGGGACTGAGACCCCTTGTTTGAGACTCTGGTTCAGTTACCCGGGGATCATAAAAGAGGGGGTCCCTAAAGATCTCCCTAATATCTGGAGCAGCGGACACCGGGAAAGCTGAGGGTGTCCCAGGTAGAAGGGGGCTGGGGGAGGAGAGAGTGGAGTGAGCTATTATGGGCTGAATTGTGTCCCCTCAAATTCATGTGGTGAAAACCTAACTCCCAAAACCTCAGAATGTGACTGTATTTAGAGAGAGGATCTTTGAAAACGTGATTAAGATGAGGCCATTATGTAGGCCCTAACATGATTGGTCTCCTTATAAGAGGAGAAATTTGGACACAGAGAGATACCAGGGACACACAGAGGAAAAGTCACATGACGACACAGGGAGAGGACAGCCATCTGCAAGCCAAGGAGAGAGGCCTCAGAAGGAACCATCCCCGCTGACACCTTGATCTCAGCATTCCAGCCTCCAGAACTGAAGGAAAACAAATTGTTGTTAAGCCACCTGGTCTGTGGTATTAGGTTGTGGCAACCTGAGCAGACCCAGATGAGGCAGATCCTCTATGCCATGAGCAAAAACTTACAGAGCCCCCACCAAGTCTCGGGGACTGAGCTTGACACTGAAGATCGAAAGACGAATAAAGCCTGGGAGGCATTAATTATGGCAGAGCAGCAGCCTCTCTGAGCTTGAGGCCGGCTGAGCCACTTTGGTTTGACTCCTGGTATATTAGAAAATAAACCAGAGTTTTTAAAAACTATGGTATTCTTGAAAACACAAACATAATTTTAATGCATCAGAATGTTGCTATGCTCAAGATAATGACGAGTTTTATTTAAAAAATTAATTCATAGTATAGATCAGGTCTCAGCAAACAGCTTCTGTAAAGAAGCAGGTAGTAAATATTCAGGCTTTGTGGGCCACAGGGGCTGTCACAGCTATTCCATTCTCTTGTAGTGTAACAGAAGTCACTGACAGCACGCAAACAAAGGGCATGGATGTGTTCCAATAAAGCTTTATTTACAAAAACAGATGTTGAGCTGGACTTGGCCCCTGGCCTTAGCTAGCTGACCTGTGGTATAGACAGTGTAATCCAATGGGGGCACACAAGTTTAAAGTTGCATGAAAAGCACTGTCACGTGTATTGACACATTCAATCCTGTCAGTGTACTGACTGTATAACCTCAGTTAGAAACACTACAAAGTTTGAGTCCCTTCCTGAATGGGGAGCCTAGGCCAAAAATCTGAATCCTATTCCCACCCTGCGATAACCACCTGGCAGGTAGTTAAACCTACAGGCTTTGAAGTCAGACAGCTGTGCAGACTATAAGAAAGTTATTAAGATTCTGAGCTTTAATTTCCTCTTCTGTGAAGTGGGGATAACAATTACACCCTAGCAGTGTGGTTAGGATATTACATGGAGTAATGTACACAGCTTACATCAGTGAGCCAGGCATGCACCAGCAGAGGGCTCCTCCTGCAGGGAAGGAGAGGAAGCCTGACAGCCCTGCCCGAGTCCAGCTGCTGCACTCAGCTGAGATGCTCCCTCTTGAAAGATTTCAAAGGTCTTAGCAACAAAGAATAGCAGTTTGGGAACCTGCTGAGGGACTTGGGGGGCAATGTAATTTGTCTTTAGAAACTACATGATTTGTTTTGCAGCCCCCCACCCCCACCCCACCAAAAAAAAAATCTCCCTCAGATGCATCGTGGCCAGAACATTTGGAGTTGTCTGGTTTCTAGGGGCCTAAACCTGGAACACCTCAGGGTTAGACCCAATGAAGACAAGAGCACCACTCACCCCATTCCTTTATAACATTTTCCTTGTGTGCCTTGGGGCCACACCCCATCCCAGCCCCCAAAATGCCAGCTTTCTGATGGCAAGATAAAGTCAGTCTTATTTATATGTTTACCATCTTAGCACAGTATCTAGAACTTAATATAAGCTTCATAGATATGTGTTAAAGAATGAATACATGAATGAAAGTGTGTGTGGGGAAGGCCAGGGGGTGCCTCAGACAGGGCCCCAGAGTAGGTGTCCCTTGTTCATATCACAAGAGTCTGGGGAGTCTAGCATCTGTCTCAGCTTTGTGGATGCAGAAATTTGATTTATGAGTACACCAAGAGAAGGCTGAGACAAGGGGACTAACGCATGGCAACCATAATTACAAGTGTACATACCAGAAACCCAAGTTATAAATTACATATTTATCATTGTACATTTATGGGAAGATACCTACACCAGTGTTCACTGGCCAGCTTATTCTGCCTGGTAACCACATCTTCCTAGGAGCTCAAGGGGTAATCAGAGGGTTCTGGGAAATCATGGACTCTTCCATTCTATGTGTCCTTTTTCAGTGTGACTTTGCTACTTCTCCCATCAAGAGGTGGAATCTAGCTCCCCTTCCCTTGAATCTGGGTGGGTTGTTGACTGTGAGTTGCTTTGACTTTCTTGGAAGCTGGCCACCATGTAAAGGAGCTTAGTCTGACTACTGAATGAGAACAGTCTCCATGGAGGAAGAGGCCATGTGGAGGAGAACCAAGGCACCCCAGCACACAGCACCCCAGCCCATTGGGAAGCAGGGTTTTTTGATGAGTGATTGTGTGAGCCAGGATCGTGGTCTCATGGAGGCGAAGAGTGGAGACACGGACCAAAGAGGTAAAGTTGCAGAAAAGGAGTTTATTAGAAGAAAAAATACATTTCAAAGAAGCGGGCCCAAACAGTAGAGAATGGCTCAAGGGCCGTTATTAGAAAAGAAAGTACACTCCAAAGAGTTTGGAGCAGGCCCCGAGCAGAGGCAAGGCTCAAAATGCTCAAAAGGCGTAGACTGGCCAGGACTTGGGAGTTTTTATCCCTTCTTCCTCTCAGAGAGGCTGTTCCTCTCTGGGTGTGGGACCACCTGAATGATCTCATCTCTCTAAAAAAGAAGTTTATTAGAAGAAAAGACAAGTTTGGGGTGGAGAGGGGAGGTCTTTTGGGCGGTGCATTCTGTGGGACATGCAGGAATGCAGATAGACCCAATGCCTGCCTCTAACTGCCTGCCTAGTTATCCTCTTTGAGAGATGTGATCCCCATAAAATCTCTACAGGAAGCTGAGGGACAGGAGGTCTTTTCTTCTGTATCTGCCTCCTGCTGGGCAAGGGTGTAGAGCTGTCCCTGCCTATTGGGGGATTCACAGAACTCTCACCCCATCTGATCTGATCTCAGTTGAGAGGAAGAGGTCTCGAAATCTGCCTGGAAGACCGTGTTGGCTTCTTTGGTTGGGACTGGCAATCTTGCTGGGGTACCCTCTGTATCCCCAAGGCCCCTAAATGAAGAAAAATAGATTTTAATTAATAAATTTCTTAAAGAGCAGAGCTCAAAGCTATAGATGTAGGGTAGCTATCAGTTTGGAAAGAACATTAGCCTTTAATGTTTACAATCAACAAGTACACTGGCCTGGGGAAATGCTCAAGTCTATTTAGTCTCTGGGATGGGATTATTCAAGAGTTAAGTCTGGAATGGCTTGGGGAATGTTGGAAAGTCACAGGCTTTAAGTGGTTATCTAAAGCCCGGGTGGGTGAGAGATATTCTGTGATTCAGTCTAGGGGCAATCTTTAGTCTAGGACTCAGAAACTGATTAGAAGAGTAATCAAAGCCAGGGGCTGAGAAACTAGGGAAGAGGAGACTTAAAAGTTGTTCAGTGGGGTGGGGATGGGCAGGGGGCGCTACTTGCTTGGCCCATCTCAACAGCACCCCAGACATGTGGGGCCATGCTGGATACTGCACAAGCCACTGAGCTGCCTCAGCAGCCACCACAAGGAACAGAAATGGGCCACCCGCACTGAGCAAAACTGAAAGCAACAAAATGATTGAAAATGGTTTTCAAGCCTCTAAGTTTGAGGAGAGTTTATATACACAGCAATGGGACAACTTTAAAAGAGACTTAAAGCAAGAAAGTGGTTGGATTATATTAATTGCTAGTATTGTTGAGTTCTGAAAGCCCATTGCCTCTATCTCTATTTTGCCTGCTGCCCTGATGCCGGGCTCCCTCTGCTCCACTAAGTCTAGGGACACTTCTGTCTCTGACTTGCTGACCTATTCGTTTGGAGGTAGCAGTCAGATCAACCCCTCTTCTGACAACGCACTCATTGTTGTCCTGTGGACATAAGAAACATCCAAATATGTAAGGAGTTTTTTTGAGTTTATTTGAGCCAAAACTGACAACTGCTGGGGGGAGCAAGATCTCAAATGCTCTGGAAACTGACAGTTTTATAATTTCTTTTATGCATCTAAAATTAAGGAGGGAATTTAAGGAAGATTAAATGAAGGTGGGAGAAATAAAGACCAGGGTTAGATTATAGAATAGTTAACAAGATTATGTACTTTCTTGAGGATGGTTAAGCATATTTCAAAGGTGTGTTAACCTAGATGCACAAAAACAATGGACAGGCTTGCTTAAGGCAAAAATAAACCTTTACTAAAAAGTTACATTCCTGGAGTGTGACTACCCACTATGACCTGCCCAGTTAGGAATTTATGATCAGAATCACCCTGGGAAGTTACTTTCCACAGAACCCCTTTTTCCTCTACAGTCTTGATTGAATTTTGGGTCCTGTTCAATTGCATGGGCGCAACCTCATTTAAGCTACTGGGTTCTTCCTAATTTCCTAATATTAACTGCCTGCCATAAGCCAGGTCCTGTCTTACCGTGCTTCCCCAAAACTAAGATTGGGTCTTATATTAATTTTTGCTCCAACAATCTACATTTATTCATTTTTTTCATGTACAAAAATCTACATTTATTCAAACAGTCATGTCTGGCTGATGATCTTAACTGGGGCTTATGTTTGGGGTAGGGCTTATATTACGAGCATCCTGAAAAATCATGCTGGGGCTTATTTTCTGGTTAGGTCTTATTTTGGGGGAAACATGGTAGGAGCTAATGGTACAGCATCCAGACCAAGAAAGCCTGTACTCATAAAATTTACATTGCAGCGTAACCTCAGACTGGGGAAGTCTTTGTCTTCATCATATACTAGGCAAGAAAATGACCCAGAGCATCAGCGCAGAAAGGCATACTGTGCCACAGAAACAACCTCATAATCACTAACTTTCCCGAACTTCTTGGAATTTAATGTACATTTTAAAAAGGATCAAAGTAGGGCCGGCCGAGTGGCGCGATGGTTAAGAACTCGCTTGGGATGCCAGAGGGCCCCGGTTCGGATCCCACATGTGAGGGCCAGTGACACTGCCCTCCACAGCTAAGATGCTGAACAACAGCTCAACCTGGAGCTGGGCTGCCATGAGTCGCCGGCGACGGTGTGGGCTGCAGTCCCTGTGGCAGTGGATTGCAATGGGCTACCGTGTGTGGCCAGCAGCCAGCGTGAGCGGCCAGCAGCCAGCGTGAGCGGCCAGCAGCCGCAGTGAGCGGCCGTCCAGAAGCCGGCGACTGATCTGCCTCGCCCGGGAAGAGCGCGATGATGGTGCCAACTTGGGCCAGTGAAGCAACGTCCTCCACAACTAGACTGAAGAACAAAACGACAGCAACTTGCCTGTTCCCCTTTCCCCAATTCCCCAGCACTGTTCCCATCCCCCCAATTCCCCAATAAAAAAAAATCTTTAAAAAAAAAAAAAAGGATCAAAGTAGTCACCAAGGGAAAAATGAGTGTTTTACTGCACTTCCTAATAATTTTCAAAAGCTTGGTATTGTTTTTATTTTGTTTTCCCCCAGCTTTACTGAGATATACTTGACATATAACATTGTATAACCTTAATGTATACAGTGTGATAATTTATGTAACTATATATTGCAAAATGATTACCACACTAAGGTTAGTTAACATATATATCACCTCACATAGTTACCTTTCTGTGTGTGGTCAGAGCTTTTAGGGTCTACTCTTAGTAACTTTTCAAGTATCCAATACAGTATTGTTAGTCAACATGCTACATACATTGGAGTCCCAGAACTTATTCATCTTATAACTGAAAGTTTCTACCTTTTGACCACCTTCACCTATTTCCCTACCCCCTCAGCCACTGGTAACCATCATTCTGCTCTATTCCTATGAATTCATATATTTTTTTATTCCACATATAAGTGAAATCACATAGTATTTGTCTTTCTCTGGCTTATTTCACCTAGCATTGGTAACCTAAAAATAATAGGCCAAAGTGAGAAGCAGCAAGCATTAATTTGAGATCAAAAGACAAGCTCTTCAGAAAGCACTGATTCAGGCAGAAACCCAAATAGTGTCCAATTAGGAGAAAGCAAAGGGTATTTATGAGAAAGGGAATCACACCATCAATTATATCAATAGAAGGAAGACATTTCTATAGGTGTAGGTAACAGTGATGTTAATGCTAAACAATGTTTTTAATTTTCATCCACTAGTCATCTGTCGGGTAGTCATATCTGTTTTCTTGGTATCTTGGCAAACAGTTGTTTGGGATACAATGTTGCTTTAGGCCCAGTCCAAAGGTTATTTTGTCCTGTTTCAACATTCCAAGGGTTTGAGGAAAAAGAGATGCTAGGCAGTTCCTCTGGGATGGCAGCTTGGACTCCATTTTAAAGTAGCTCCGTTTATATTAGCTTGCAACAAAATGCCATCAAGTTTCACCCATGATGTTGCTAATCCTTATTTATTATGGCTGAATAATAGACCCAAGACTCTCTTGTTCCAGAGCTTGTTCTCTTAACCCCTAACTACTCTTGCTTTCCTTCCCCAAAGCCCGTAACAGCAACCTTTGGAAACACCTCTTCATATGAATTACAATGGAAATAAAATTAGTGAAAGCTCCTATACTAAGGCTCTATATAATTTATCGCCTCACATTTAATCCTAATATGACCATATGCAAGAGCAAACCAAAGCTCCAGGGGCATGACTTGCTAAGGGGACCACTCACACTGGTAGTGACGGAGATCGAAGCCCTCACAGCGACTGCCAACTCCAAGGACCTGCTCCTTGGCCGGCTTCGCTTTTTCCGTGCACGCGCTCCCGGAAGCCCCGCCCCAGGCGAAGGACCCTTTCCGGAAAGAGTTGACAGGGGGAAACGCGGAAAGAGACAAGGGGCGGGGCTGTTCAGGACGCTCTAGCATTCCCCCACTCGATGGCCTCCCCCAATTGACAAGTCCATAGTGGCAAGGCTCCTCTCTATTGGACGCGCAGCCTCGCGTAGGCGGGCAGCTCGGCTTGCGGCGCGATGATTGGCTGGGCCTGCCATGTGGGACAGAGGGGCGGGGCGTGGGGCATGCGGACCGAGGTGACCGGCTGCATTTCTCAGCCTGGGTGGAAACGGGCGCATGTGGGCGCTCCGCTCCTTGCTGCTGCGGTCCGCGGCCGGGCGCACCATGTCGCAGGGACCCGCCCGCCGCCAGCGGCCGCCCAAGGACCCGCTGCGGCACCTGCGCACGCGGGAGAAGCGCGGCCCCTCGTGGGAGCCCGGGGGCCCGAACACCGTGTACCTGCAGGTGGTGGCTGCCGGCGGCCGGGACGCGGGTGCGGCGCTCTACGTCTTCTCCGAGTACAACCGGTCAGTGCATCGCGCCGGGAGTCCGGCTGGGACTCCGCGGCGTCTCCTTAGCGAGCCCGCCCCGCCCTGTCCGGCCCTCCGTGCTGCGCGCCCGGGAGCATCGCGGCACCTCCCTGGGCTGCGGCTGTCCCCACTCACACGTGTGGCATTTCCTTATTGCAGCCGATCTTTGTCTTTTGGTGGGTGGGAGATCCTAGATCCCTTACAGCCTCCGTCCGCATCGTTTCTGGGAGTCCCTGAAAAACTTTAGACTCGGGGACAAGCGTTCTTTCTCCAACCCTTGGGGCCCGAGTTCCCTCTTGGCACTGTCTGGGCGGCACCCCCTCCCGTGCACGCCAAGGAGGGGGCGCATAGCTGGTGTGTGAGGTTGACAGGCCTGGCGATGGCGGAAAGGACCCAGGTCTGTCCCAGCCCCAGCCTACGCAGGCCCCCAGCCCCGTTCGGCCTCTGCTGAAACCTGTCAAAACCCAGCATGCTAATAGCAACAATGCGGCCGGTAGTACAACGTGGAGTTTTAGGTTTTTCCCCCAGAGTGTACAGTAAAGCATCTAAACAGTGGCAGAGATCTTACAGAATTGAATCTTCTGAGTATCTTGTGTAATGTTCGTCCTGTAGGTATCTCTTCAACTGTGGAGAAGGAGTCCAGCGACTCATGCAGGAGCACAAGTGAGTCAACCCTTTTCTTTTGGGGTGGGGATGATTATGGGGCTTGAAGGCTGAGATGAGAGGCAGGAGTGGTTTTGTGGCAGAAGAAAGGGTTCCTGCTCCACCTGCTTTTGTCCTGCTCAAATGTTTTCTCTTTATTAGGCTGAAGGTGTCTCGTTTGGACAACATATTCTTGACCCGAATGCACTGGAGTAATGTTGGGGGATTGTGTGGTGAGTATATGCTTTCCAGTGTCATAGGCTGGTGGGAAATCTCTGGGATTTTTAACCTGCCTTCCCCTTTTCCCCTCATCTTCTGAGTCCATGGGAGCTGGGGTTATTTTTATACTAGGCCAGTCAGCTGCAGCATAAAACATCAAAAGCTGTGACACAGAAGAGCAGAGTTTAAACTGGATACGGCCCTCAAGTGTTACTATCCACTTCATTTATGGAGTTTCTGGACTGGAGATATGTGACAGATATGGACCGGAGAGTGTAGTGATGGTGATTACAATAAATATATTTAACATTGAGGCCATCAGCAGCTACACAGAGATACCCACTATCCAGATTACCCCATTGTTCATGCCCACCCACTAGAAAGGTCAGGATTGTGTTACTGCCAAATTCTGTAAGCTTTGTGCTGTGGCTAGGAAGGCGTGGCATGTTGAACCAGTTCCATTTTCAGAGCCAAGACTAGAGCGGGCAAAGAGGTGCCTAGGATGCAAAATGTAAGGCCAGGCCTTCACTTGTGTGACTTTGCACCGTACGTGCCTCACCTGGTTTTGCATTCTGGGCGCCTCACTGCCTCACCGTAGTATATGCCGTGATTATTCTAGAGGCATGTGAGGAATATTTCGTGTGCCTTATACCTCTAGCTAGCGTCACTTCTGCTGTACATATGTCTCCTGAGCATTAGAATCTGGAATAAGGACAAGTAGAAAAAGCTGGTGTGTAAGGAGTACTCCACCTTGGGTGGCAACTACAGGTCAGGATGATGAGATCTGATTCCAATTGTTCTTTTTAGGAATGATTCTTACCTTAAAGGAAACCGGGCTTCCAAAGTGTGTACTTTCTGGACCTCCACAACTGGTGAGTCTCTCCTGACTCAGCTTTCAAAGCTAACCCCTCCTTTTTTAAAGTGATGATGAGAATTTTCATTTTTGCAAATCAGTCTTCTGCCCTCTAGAGATAACTAATAGTGGAGTAAACACCTTTCAGGATAAAGAGGCCTGAGTCCAAACTCTAATAACTGTATAATGTTGAACAAGTTACTTTACCTTTTGGAATTTCAGTTTCTTCATCTGTAAAATGGCTATAATGTTTCATTGAATTGTTAAAGGTTAAATGCGGTAACACATAAAGCACCAAATCAGTTTATTAGATGTTTGGCACCAAGTAGGCTCACAATAAATGTTAGCTTTTATTCTTACCTATTTATTAAATTTGAGATATCTTCTTACCTTTGAAATCTGATTATTACACTATTGAGAAGTTGTATGCACATTGTTAACCAAGCTCTGTTAATTCTGTCTCCAAAATAATGCCTCAAATCCATCCATTTGTCTTTATCTCATTAAGGCTTTCATTATCTCTGTCTGCTATGATGGCTTCCCATACCCATTCTTGCCTTCCTGTAATCCACCTACCACACAGCAGCCAGAGGGACCTCTTTAAGGCTTAACAGCAGGTGTATCTCTTCCATCCTAAAACCCTTCAAGGTTCCTCATTCCAGGACAGTCCATATACCTTAATATGGCCTGCAGTCCTGCAGGCCTTGGCCCTCACTCACACTTGCGTCTGTATCCCAGTCACCAAGCTGGAGCTACATAGACCAACTCCTAGTCCCACTACCCTCCACTGAAGCTGCTTCCCATATCAGGGTTTTCATCCATACATGAGTTTCCTCTACCTCCTCTCATTCCTGCCTGAATTTTTCTGAACCTTTGGGACTCAGCTGAAAGGCTGTTGACTCAAGTGGCATCCCTGACTCTGGACAAGATGTATCCCAGCCCCCTGCATTTTTCATGTTTCTTGCAGAGCACTTAGCATAGTTGCCACTAAGTTGTTGTTTGTGTTATCACTTGTTTCATTTTTGTTTCCTCCATTGGATTCTGTTTCATGATGGCCAGGACCCCATCTCTTTCTCACTGCTAAATCCTTGACATCTAACATATAGTGGACACTTGGGAAATATTTGTGTAAAGGAATCTCAAAATACTTATTAAAGGTCATGTTGATGCCTATCAATACCTCTTATGTACTTGAATACATTGTTGTGTGCTGCATTTGTACAACCATAACTGCCCGCTTCTTTCTTTTCTTTTTCTTTTGTAGGAAAAATACCTAGAAGCTATCAAAATATTTTCTGGTCCATTGAAAGGAATAGACCTGGGTATGTCCCTGACTCTGACTCAATATTTGCCATTTCTTTCTCATATACCCCCAATCTCTCAAATTCGAATCCATAACGACTGACCTAAATTAAACCTTAAAATGAATGCTTCATCAACATAGATGCATTTTCAAAATATTGTCTGTTACACTTTCTGTGCCCCCTCTTCATGACCCCCAAATATAGGCTAGAGATGGTTTTCAGAGTTGAGTTTCCTTGAATTCCTTGCAGTAGGGAGAAGGGGTGCAAGCAGAGGGACCCACAGGTTTTGTTGCCATCTGTTTACACTGAACCTCAACCCTGGCTATGGTGCATGTAGCCTCTTTGTGGGATAAGGCCTAACAGGATGCTGGCAGCCCCTGTGCTGGAAGCAGTGTACATCTCCAGCTTGTTAATGCTCCTCTTCTATAGAAGTACCAGTCTTCTATTTCAGAATCTATATCGACTCTTACAGTTAAGATGGTAAATTGTCTGGCCTCACAATGCTATGTGTTAACTTGTGCCTCTTAAATTTGTCTTCCTTCCTTCCTTCCTTCCTTCCTTTCTTGTTTTTTTTAAAGATTTTATTGGGGAATTAGGGAAGGGGAACAGTGTTGGGGAATTGGGGAAGGGGAACAGCCAAGTTGTTGTCCTTCAGTCTTAGTTGTGGAGGGCGCAGCTAGCTCAGCTCCAAGTCCAGTCGCCATCCGGCCACCCGTTGGTAGCTTGCTGCTGCTCATCTCAAGGTGCTGTGTTCAATCTTAGTCACAGGTGGGTGTAGCCCACCATCCCATGTGGGAGTCGAACCAGCAACCTTGTTGTTAGGAGCACATGCTCTCACCAGCTGAGCCATCCTGCTGCCTATTGTCAACTCAGTGGCAGCTCAGCTTGGGCACAGCTCACTGGCCCATGTGGGAATCGAACCAGTGACCCTGTTGCTCAGAGCTCGCACTCTTAACCAACCTAGCCACTCAGCCGGCCCTCTTTTTTTTTTTTTTTTTAAATGCATGCTCACCAGTGATCATAATATGTGTTTTGATTTGGCGCTAATAAAGATTAATGGCTGATGAAAATATATCTTGCTTCTTTCCCCCCAGTTTTGATTTCCTCAGAAATTCTGGTTTTAGTGCAGATTCTCACCCAAATTCCAAGGCGACACAGTTGCTTGTGGTTGGTGACCTGGAAAGTTAACTCACGCGTGTCTGTCCTAATGCAGTTGCCTTCCTGTTGTCTTGTTCACATAGCTGTGCGGCCCCACTCGGCACCAGAATATAAGGATGAGACCATGACAGTTTTCCAGATCCCCATATACAGTGAGTATAAAAGCCACATGGCCTAGGAGCAGGAGGAGGGGTGTAGGTGCTAGGTAAGGAAACTGTGGGTGGAAACAGAAACTGCTTGAATACGGCTTTGTATACCTAGTTTTGTGTTATGAGCATAATTAGGAAATTT